GCTGAGAGAGTCAGAGAGAGACAAAGGTTACACAACAAATTATTCACCCCTCCGCTGGCTCTATTCTACACCCCTTTGTTAAGCATAAATGCAGCTTGGCAGGGTCCACAGAGGGCTCTTCAATTCACAGTAACAACTCAAAAACAGCCACTCATTATACAGTACAAGAGTCCGTTCAGATCATCAGCCTCAGCCTGACACAAACACATGCAGATGTAAACGATAGTGAACTGTTAAAACACCAAACAGACCTACAAACTCATTCAGAGACTCCTACACATGTTGACACACACTCCAAACCGGACCGGACAGCAAGATACCCCGATAACCCCTCAAAACGGGACAGCTGAGAGCACCAGGGGGAGCAAGGGAAGTTTCATACCTTCTTCAGCTGAACTGTGCTGGACCACAAGAGAGACAGACAGAAAGATCCTCCACATTTCCATCAGAGCAACACACAGGAGAAGTCCAGAGAGGAAGAACACGGGAGAGGGACACAGGAGGAGAGAGAGAAAGAGAGAGAGAGAGAGGCAGAGAGAAGGGAGGAGGAGTCTGTCTGCTTGTTTTTATCTCAGATTAAAGAGAGGAGAGAAAGAGAGGGGGTGGGGGGAGCAGGGAGGAGTATTTATGTATGATGATGATTATGATTGAGAAGTCACTGAGCAAAGAATGAGGAGACAGAGAGAGCGAGAGAGAGAGAGAGAGAGAGAGACATGAAGGGACCGGTAAACTGAGAGAGTGAGAGAGAGAGCGAGAGAGAGAGACAGAGAGAGAGAGAGAGAGAGATAAAGGGACCGGTAAACTGACTTTAGCCACTCACCGTGATGGAAAGCCTAAAACAAGTTCGGCTTGTTCGCAGAAAAAGTGTCTAGACACGCAGGAGACAGACGCTCTCACAGTCACATTTGGTGAAGGCTCTGGTTTGGCATGCTGATAGGGCACAGAGAGCCAGATTGGAAATATGCATCATTCAGTAAAAGGAGCTTGGAAAACTGCCTGTGTGTTTTCTTTTCCTCTCTTCTTTCAATTGCTTCTTTTTTCCTGAAAAAAAACAAACATATTTTGAATATTTCCTTCTGGGTTTAGTAATCTCTCATTTTACACACACACATACACACAGAGAGAGAGAGAGAGAGAGAGATTATTCAATATAGACATTCATTTAGAGGCTGCTGTACTCCTGAAGACAACAGTTTTGTACAATTATCTCTTTGAAAACAGCGCCTCCTGATGGAGTGACTTGAAGACAGCAGTAGAGAGACTTGATATCCTGTTGTTTCAGTAGAGTTATACATTTGTTTGTGAGGAGCCTGATCACTCTAACCTGTCAATCATCAAACAAGCGTAAAAGACGCCGTCTACATCTCTGACAATTCTTCCACTGACACTCTTCGACGTTATCTCCTCCTTTACTATAATTCACTTATTTTTTAATCTGTTTTTACTTGTTTTACCTATATTTTATCAAATTCCGTAGTCCTAATGGCGGTCAAGCCGAAGCTCGAGGCGAGTCTCGGGCGCGAGCCGCTCCTTCAAGGACAGGAAGCTAAATTCATTTACCAGGTGAAGTAGTGAATTGGATTTAGTGAATTTGGACCAAAATAAAATAAATGTACAATATATCAGCAGTGAGAAAAAAACAATCAATTCAAGTGCATAAGTAAATTACAATGGAATATAAACCAAACGCTATTATTAGATAACGGTAAACTATATCCCATTATTGTGGCTTACAAGTAAAGAAATATATTTGGGTATATGACTTTTATGATATGATGCAACATGTCATGGGAAGGAACAGACCTGTCATGACACATATGTATGCACACAAATATGTACAGAATTCTTGTGATGCGAACAGTCACAAACACATGTCAGATCAAATCATGTGCAATGGGAATGTTTTAATTTGGTCAATCTCACAAAATAAATATGCTTTCAGGTGCTTATGGTATTACATACACTCATATATTTAGGACATTGTGTTTAAAGAAAAAACAATAATAATTTTAAAAAAAAGTACAAACATAAGAAATTGGAAATAAAACGATAAAAGCTATAAATATAACAAAATATATAAATATATATAAAATACACATTCACAAAAAAATAAAAAAGGAAAACATCATTGGTGCGTACTTGATAAAACTCCAAAAAGCATCTCAATCATCCAGTCAGACTAGTGCAGCAAAATACAGTAAAAAATGTAAACAAACAAAAATATATATTTACACAGTAGAGCAAAACTTTTACAGTGTACAGTCCAAACTACCCCAAAAACCAAAAGCCTATTAAAAACCTCAAATAGGGCTATTAAACTGTGTGCTTGTTTTGAGTGGATATCATGATTAACTTTCATATGATCCTGTATCAGTAGTGTTCATTCAGTCATGTTCAGTGACAATCATCACGAGAAATACTTAAGTGATGAACACCATTTAAACACTGATAATTCATACCTTCAGCAGGACTTTTACAACCAGTATCATATACATAAACAGCAACACATGCTGAAATAACTGGACCTGTACGGGACCCCCAAAACATACAAAAAATCTAGGATTTAAAACCTAATTTAAACAGTAAAATTACAAAAACGCCAGATGCTTATGGCCTGAATAGCCATAACAGCAAACAGGAGTCAGGCAGCAGTTTTAAAAGCATTCAGCGAGTCTGGTTAGCGAGAATTCAATCTGCTTTAAAGAAACTGTATGTAATTTTTTTTTACCTTGAAATATCAGTTTCAAAATCATTCTGATGGTACACTGACTTCTCATAAGGCTTCTTTTTATTCACCACACTTCCTACCAAACATCTGTTCCGGAAGTAAGGTACGAAATACCGCGAAAAGGCCGGACTGCTTTACAAGAGCAACAAATGCACATGTACAACTATCCACTTCAATTACGATAGTGAATTTCACTCATTTAACTGCAGGGGGCTCCAAAGTCGGAAAAATACACAAAACTTCATACAAGTCTTTGGGCAATATGGGAAATTTGCTAACCAACTATTTAAATAAGTCATAGTAATCAGTTTAATATTCCACATGATTATGTACAAGTGCATAGTGCTCAGTAGAAATCTCACACATCAGTTATTTAAAAAATAACTTAAAAAATCTAACTAAACATACACATCTGCAACCACATGTAATAAACACTTGTTTGCTCATAATGACTTTATAACTGCCAATCAGTGCCATAACACTGTTTAGTACCTCTACGTCAGCGGTTTCCAAACTTTTTTAGACATTTTTAAACCATTTCATGTTTTTGAAGCTACCTCAATAATAATAATAATAATAATAATAATAAAAAGCACAGTGATTTGACCACAGAAATGTGATTATATTAACAGCTGCTATCTGTTACACTTGCAGTGTAAAATTGTGATTTATTTGTGAAAACACTGATGTGCTTGATCTCACTGATCTACTTGATAAATGCGCCAAGCTATTTCTTTATAATAATGCCCATTATTTAGCTGCATCTGTTCATTTAAGGTGTCAATCTTGTGTGGGTTACAGGGTTTTTCCTATAAGTTTGCTCAGCTTTTTTCCTGACCAGCCATTTCAGTCATCTGAAACTTCTCTGATGATGGGGATACTGGCATTGTGATGGCACCCTCTGGGGACGTGTAGTTGGCGGCATTGGAGCCTGCGGCATTGGAAAACCCACTGGCAATGTCCTCAAACGTTCGGCCTTTGGTCTCGGGAACGCGGAAGTAGGTAAACATGAAGAAGATGATAAGGAGGACGAGGAATATGATAAAGACGTATGCTTGACACAGGTCCTGAAAAGTAAGCAAGATCACAATATAATGTGTTTAGTTCTTGTATCCTTGACAAATGTGATACTGATGAATTCATTGACAAGGTTCTCACCAATAGTTTTGGGAAAAGCAGTCCGACAAGAAAGCTGGCGGTCCAGTTGCAGCATCCCGCCACAGCGATGGCTGCCGGGCGTGGACCTTGAGCGAATAACTCAGCCACTATGAACCATGGGATTGGTCCCGGTCCCATCTCAAAACTGGCCACAAACCCGAACACTGCCAGAATGGCCAGAACACTGATTGCTGAAGTTCCCTGCTAGCCGTATATGGAAATTGAACCATTTGGAGAGAGAAATAGAGAGATGATACATTTCAGTGAATGACTTCCAACACAGATGTAAGTTGGCATTCATCAGTAAGATCACACACTGACCCCTGCAGATACAGATTCGGGGATGGCAGTCGTATTAGCACCACTTCCTGCTTTTGCTCCTGTAGGGTTCTTAAGATCAGAAAAGGCAAAAATAAAAAATGTAATCCCTTTATTTTTCATTTAAATAAACTATAGTTAAATCCATGACAATTAATTATGAAGATTTTAGTGGTTTATCATTTAGTGCTATTTAATGATATGCAATAAGTCCCAAACTCACAAGAAGTTCAAGAGAAATGGTCATGAGCAGAGCACAGACAGTCATTCCAGCTAGTCCAACCATATGAAGTGTTCTTCTTCCTGCCCTCTCCACCAGGAAGAGCTGTTGAGCAAAGCAGTGGAAGAATCAAAACACAGTCCTTTTAGTACGCCATCATAAAAGTATTTAAAAGACATAAGGGCATAAAAGTTGCAAATAAGAAGGGTGATTTTTGTTTATGTGAGTATTTTAGCTCAGCTGTGTAAACTTACAGAGATGACAGTGAAGAGAGTGTTGACTGCACCCACTCCAATGGTGGCATAGACAGCCTCAGTGATACCTGCATACCTGAAGATCTTGGTAGAGTAATAAATTACCTGAAAGATTGACAGAAAACACGCAGCTGTTCAACATTTAGAACTGTTCACGTCAACATTCTAAGTCAAAGGGGGGAAAACCTGCAAGGAAGCCTTAGAAACTGACAGAATTGGAAGAATTCAGGGTTAAAGCAAACACTACAAAAATCATTGATTAGTTTGTCTTGTTTTATCTAAAATTAAAATATATTACACCTTGTTAGAGAGAATATTATTCTACAGTAATATTATATATTACACATATTACAAACATATTAAGGCATGGTTTCACAGACAGGCTTAGCTTAGCCAGCACTAGGCCTTAGATAAATTAAAGGGTTAGTTCACCCAAAAATGAAAATTAGGCTGCGTTTTACTCACCCCCGAGGCATCCTAGGTGTATATGACTTTCTTCTTTCAGACGAATCCAGTCGGAGTTATATTAAAAATTGTCTTTGATCTTTCAAGCTCTATTATTGCAGTCAGCGGGTGTTGCATTGCTTCAGATAATCACTTGAATCTAGCTTGTGCTCACTGTTGTAAATGGAAGCAGCTCCGGGCTGATGACGTATGAGATCAGCTGTGCACATGCGCAGTTTAGAAGTGACGCACGCGGAAACGCAGGGGAGAGATCAAAACAACGGTCAAGAATTAGAAGTACAAAACAAGGATTTGTAAAGAAGAATGTCGGAGGATTTCGATATAAGCCAAGAGGAGACTGATTTTCCTTTGCTAAAGTAAGGAAACTTTGCTTCCTTTGCTAAAGTAAGCAAACGTTGGTTTTCACGAGACTCACCGGCGCATGCGCATTACAAAAACGCATTGATTCGCTACAGGAGGCCTTTGTTCACCCCTCGGAGCCGTGTGAGACACTTTTTTTATGCATGGGCGATTTTTATTTAACTTCTTTTGGACTGAAGCAATGATAGAGCTTGAAAGATCAAAGACAATTTTTAATATAACTCCGACTGGATTCGTCTGAAAGAAGAAAGTCATATACACCTAGGATGACTTGAGGGTGAGTAAAACGCAGCCTAATTTTCATTTTTGGGTGAACTAACCCTTTAAGATATTTGGGCAGTTTTTATAAAAATGCCTTAGAAGAAAATGTTACAGGTGTGCATCTTGAGACAGAACAATGGCACTGCATATTTTAAGATATGTCAGAGCAAGTTATTTTCAGTTGAGACAGCTCAAACATGCATTTTAGTCTGGGACTAACCTTAAGCCTTGTCTGTGAAACCAGGGGTATTTGTTTAATTTTATCACCTTAACTGTTTTTAGGCATAAAAAATGGCCAGTGATGGAAAAAATAATGCATTAAACTATTATAAATCTGATACATAATAGTACATAGTATATATACAGCCCACAACAATCCGTTTATAACATTTGTTAATTTTTTCAATGTAGACTTAATACATTTGTGCTAACTGATCTCAGTCAGTGTGGTTTGGTGGAGTATGTTGACTGTAGCAGCCGGGGTTGTGCTAACTGTAAGGTTCGTTAAAACACGCTTTAAGTTCAGGTGGTATTTCAGGCTAGAACTGCTTTGATGGTATTAATTCCATATAAAGTCCTTATTGCATATAGTGCAAATGACTTTGGTTTTATTGGTGGCTCTATTCGAATGGGATCTTGTTTGATGGATATGTTCAATATTTTTACCTGGAAAATAAGGCACTGCTAGCTATAAAAATGTTTAATGGGATGAGCTAATTAAACATCAGATTTATTATACGTGATGCGAGAAGTTTTGCATGAAGTGTGAGACTCACAGCGTTGATGCCAGAGAGTTGTTGGGACAGCTGCAGGATTATGGCGATAATAATGGGCTGTCTGTAAGCGGAGTTACGGAACAGCTCTGGAATAGAAACCTTCTTCTCCATGGACATCTTCAAGGCCTCTTCCTTCATCTCATGAATGTCATCCTCCACATCTGAATGCCCACGAAGACGTGTCAGCACTGAGAGCAAAAAAAAGAGAGAAAGACATACATCGTCAGTGCGGAAGAGTAAATACACTTTAGTTGCTCAGGCAGTTCTGTTCCTGTGGTGGGGGGGCTTCATTCTTTAGCAGTCACAGCAGACTCACCTTGGCGTGCCTCCTCCTCCTGGTTCAGAGTGATCAGCAGGTATCGAGGGCTCTCCGGGCAGAAGATCAGCATGACGCACTGTAACACTGCGGGCACCACCGTCAGAGCCAATAACAATGGCCACAAATACTGAGACCCCAGCAATAACTCCAGTCCTAAGATCTACCATAAAATCCACAAAAATTACCCATTTATAAATATTTCTTTTTTTAGTATATATAACAGATATATTGCAAAGCAGTAAGACTTCAACGAAATGATCAATTCTGAAGAGTCTTCTCCATTAATTACAATGAATAGCAGGGATCAACGCTAAGGATTTTTTCTACTGGCCCTGCCACAAAAAATAAAATAGTTGCCGTTATCATTGTTTTTGATCTGTTATCTTGTATTCTAATAAATAAGGTTACATGACACCAATATTTGAGTTACCAATTAAATTTTACAATTCTCTATTTCAATTTCGATACCACAGCAAAAATCACTAGCCAACAATAAACATAAATGTAAAGTTTAAACATTATTAAAGACAAGTGACAGCCAGTAAATAAGAACAAATGAACAAATTACAAGTAATAGCACAATTAAATATAGGCCTATAGCACAAAAATAGAAATGAAATGATGCTTTAGGTTTTTATGTTTGTAGAAAAATCACATATAAAATAGCATTTAAATATTCTTCACTCTGTGTTGCACCTTGATTTTTTCATAGCCATTTGAAATTAGAGGCAACCACTGCATTTTAATCATGAATTGAAAAAAAAGTGCAATGTTTGA